AGATTATACATTTCTCTATATAACCATAATCTAAACGTACCCAAAAATACATGGGACTGATAAACACAACACAGACGCCAACACAGAATACTTCTATAAAAAACTACCAATGGGTTTATGAGAAAAGGAACCAATTATAATTTATTTAGAGCCTCTTAAAACGAATTCCTGCATAGTATGTCTCCTTTAACCTCTCTAAAGATGCCCCAATCACTATAATCCGCCTTGCTTACCGAGCATCTGCCCCAAAACGAGCAAAACAGAGACCATAATGCTTTTGAGAGCCCCGTTGTCACGTCCTGCTGGAATGGTGCCTTTTCCAGCATGGCCAGGCACATATGCTCCTCACATGTCACTGTACATCATCCACTAATGCTTTGAGCCCTGGTATTTTGATTTTACTACCTGCAAAGCCCATAACCTTTTCCTTCAAATCCCCAGGCTTTCACTCATCCTGGCACCAGTCCAGACGTTTCCGACTTTTTAGCATGCATCTGTCGTCTATAGAGATGCTAACCTCAATTTTATATGACATGGTTACGCCTTCTTTCTGTGGAATATTGGCTGTACTAAAAATACAAAAAGGTACAAGCTGTGCAATGCATCTGCTGTATCTGGAGAAAATGACAATTATTGCGACATATTACTCAAGTGGAGTTGATATCACACTCATATATTGCTACAGGAATTTCATTATAGATCGAATTAAACTGGCCAAGACTTTTGTAAGTGGATTGACTCCTGGCATCACTTTCCCGAGACACAAGAGACCAAACATGCAAACTAGACTTTTCACAGCTATAATTTCCCCTGTCATTTACACACTTAAAGTTGTATGTAGACCTTTTCTTTTCTGAGTCCGTGATATGTGAATCCTTTAAATCGCTAATAATGATGTATAGATCATTATTGAGATTTTAAATGTACCAAATATACTGGTATATACTGAGCCATTGATTGTCACCATGCCAACCAAAGTGTTCAAAAACCTGTACGCAGCAATTTCACGGAACAAAACAACAAAACTACATAGATATATTTGAAAGGGAGTTTGATGAAGAAAAACAATAATAAACTTCCAAACCCTCTCACACATTCAGGATAATACAATTCATGAGATCTTTGACATTCACTACTTTCATAAAAGAGCCTGAAAATAGCTTCAATAAAACTTCAGAAATGTTTAAATTCAACAAAACCAAAGATTACAAAGATATGCAACTTCATTTTGAAAAGTCAACAGGGATTAAGCTTGCATCCTGTTCCTTTTAAATGGTGTCGTTTTGCAAAAAGCCAGCAGATGGCGACCAAAACTATTGTATTAATGCACAAACGACACTGAAGGAGTAATTTCCCAACAATCATTGAGGTTTCAAACTTGTCGTAAGTTTCCTTCTTAGGCTTCTCATTGGCTAAGATGTCTTTAGAATTCCCACTTCAGATTTTACAGTTTGTCAACTTCACCACAGCTATGGGATCGATCCTACCATGCCGAAAATCATCATGGGATTAGCAAATTTCAGCTCTTAGCCACCAACCATCTAAACACAATAGAGAATCAAAGCTTGAAATAGACATGGTCCATATCTACCATTTCATTCACTACATGTTTCCCCTTACACAAATAAACCCTGCCTTTGTCTCCCTCTGTCTGTCAACATAACTTCTGTACTCCCCATCCTTTTCACATGCCACAATCAATACCACCCACACAGCAACTGCAGACGCTTTTTAAACATTGTACGTGCAAAATTGTCACCGAGCATCCCTCAACGGCCCTCCAAAACAAAGCCTGACCCCCCCACGTGACATTTTGAACACCGGTCTAGTGGCTTGAACAGACATTTGGTCACGCTTCTCTGCCGTTATCTTTGGCAGTACACTGGGAACTTATTGGGAGTCAGCCGGCCCTTAACAACTGCAGCTGGAAATAGCCCACAGACTTTCATGGGCCCGTTTTTGAAGAGGTGTCAGGCAGGCGTGCACTGGGCCAGGAGCTGTTATTTGGGGTAGGTGTGCGGCTTATAAAATGGGGGGGCTATAAGGTTCTTCACATTTAGTGTCAGGACAGTTGGAGCAGTGGTAAGAGACGGAAAACAAAAGACCAGCCAGGGGACGCATCCTGTTCCAAGATGCTACTCCAAGTTTCCCCATTTAGAGATCATAACAAACTATTTCACACCCCATACAGTACATCATGAGCTAAAGCAGTCGTGCAAGATGATAGGGGAATCTCGTCTTCGGATACAAGGAGGTGAAAAGGCACTAAATCTCAACGAGCATATTTTGGATGGTTCTTCCAATAGGTGATATGTTGACTTTGTGAAATGTAAACACAAGCCAAATCCAGACAAGACATGATCTCAAATGGACATTGATTATTCAAAATGGTCCTTAACCACGTTACAACGGTGTTCCCTCGTCTAAAATATACCTGGAGTTCTTTTTGTCCATTCAACCTGATATCAGGAACTTCTGGTACCAAAAAGTCTGTCTCCTTTTTATGGTGCGATCTCAAACTTAAATCTTTAGATTGTTACGTCATAGTGCTGCTGTCTGCCTTTTAAAACAAAAGAACTGCTTTTGTCGGAAATGTGCTTTACAAATAAATCTACTTCTACATGACACTTCTACAAGTTCTCCAATCACACTATAGTGTTTACAAATGTGTGCCTTCTATATGTGTCATGTTAGATGTACATCTAAATATTGGTCATTTCAAACTTCTACCAATAGATGGCAGTGTTGGCGCAGTCTAGTCAGAACTTACTCTTTAGTCACGTTTATGCAATAATATTTTAACGTGGGAACCTATTTCATACTATTCATTTAGCTACAACCTGTGTGTGTCATAGTTCTTGACTAATTTCTACAAAATCAATTGTTTGCTTGAATATCAGATACTTCCCAGTTCGTAAATTATGTATACGCTGGATCTTTCGACAATATCCAGCTCTATAATTTCATTGCAACCATCAAATTACATAAAGAACACCAGACGTCGCATGCCTGAATGTATACAGAGCAGATCGTTTTCCACGTGCCAATCTCAAAAGTAAAATGCTCAGATGTACAGTATTTAATAGGCTGTCGGGGCGCTTTCTAATCCTGGCCCAGCGATTGGTTGTTTCCCTTTAGTGCGAGCAGGGGCCAATCAAAGGCCGCAGGAAGTCAGAGCTGCAGCCTCAGCCCTCTGATCCTTGCCGAGCTGCAAACTTTCCCCCTGTCAGATTAAATGGGATTAGCTCAGTCCTGCCGAATGATGAACCGAACGCCTCATATGGTGACTTGAAACTTTCCAAAGATGGAGGAAGAAGGGGGGGAAAAAGAGAAAAGAAAACTCTGCGGTCAGGCAAATGTATTACAGGCTTTCAAACTCTTGATTAGAAGCTCTGCCCTTGGTATAATGCGGTTTCTTAGTGACCTGTCAGCTTGCAATGACATCTGCAGACACGCCAGCCTAAATAGTTTATACCAATTACTGCGTATACTTCACGGCCTGCAACAACAGCTGAAGTAACTATAATAATCTTGACCGTTGACCTCAGCAATATTGACAAACACAGCACAATGCAATCAGATTACAGGCAGGATTAATATGCTAATAGATAACACACAGTTCTTAACCACGTAAAACTTCACAACTGCAAAGTAGTTGAATGGGAACATATAGTATTTTGCAAAACGTATGATGGCATAGCATGTCAAATGATGCATGGTTAAGAAATCTAGCATTGTCCTGCATTCAAAGCTTCATAAAATCTCTTCACCAACCACCTGTCTCCACCCATTCACTCAAACACTTAAGCTCATGCATGCTAAGCTTAGTTTTAAGCCATTTTTCAACATTAAAACACATGCAAACAAAAATCCAGGCTAATATGAATTGTGACGAAGAGGAGGCGTGGCTAATCAGTGGAAGTTTTGGACAAGAAGTGAATCATTTCCATCAAGCTGTTTTAGATCAATATGGCGGCATATAGTGAACCTAAAGTAACAACATTATCTATGTGTTGTGTAGTTTTGTCACTACTCAATGCATTTTGCCCTTGCACCATTCATTGTGTTCCTAAATTAGACCTTGGCGCTCTTCCTCAATCACATGCAAACACTCTTATTGGTATTTATATCTATCCCCTGAGCGAGTGGCTGGGCTGGGAGCCATATCACTCTAAGACGACAGCCGAGCAGTCACACCACAAGTACTTAGGTCCAGCCTTGCATTGTGTATGCGTGCGCTATGGCAAAAAGGGGAGCTACATTAGGTGCTGGCTGATGTTGTGGAGGCCAAAAGCGGAAAGAATTTACTCTCTTATCAGCCTTCGAGTCACAAGCATGGGCCGGACAGCGAAGCCAAAAAAACATGACAAGACTGGTGGCACAAACACTTCTCACACGAGGTTTTTTTTTTTTCTGTTTCCCCCGGCGCATAGCTAAAGCATCCAATCTCTACTCTTTCTTGTCTATCTCTGCCACTGATAAAGGCCTGTAATGAACTGGGGACCACAACTCAGTCCCAAGACCGATGGCTTTATGGCCCTGGTCGGATCATCGCGTCTCTGTGGACTTTCCAGCGAGAAAAGGAACGCCACGGTTAGATGCAACGGAAAGGGATAGGGAGGGTGAGAGGGAGGGAAAGAGGGAGGGAGGGAGGGGGAGAGGGAGGTGGGAGAAAGGAGGAACGCAAAGATTAAAGTTTCACATACTGTAACCTTTGAGAGGGGTTTTGCAACACGGTGCAGAGTTTACTATTCTGTGTGATGTGCACCGCGTTGCTTGAACTCGAACCGAAGTAAATGTTTTGATAAGCAGGCCTAAAGTGACGGCTGGATCCAAATAGGGGACAAAGGTCTGTAAGCTCTTATCACGTCACCCTTATCTCCTCTTTTGTACTTTGGGGCAATAGAAATACTTGTTTATAAACTGGCACTGAGTCAGGAATGCTATAAATCAATAGATATGACAGCTGAAATGAAGAGAAACGCATACGGCAATCTTACCTCAAATAGATTGGACGCCTCGTTGCCATATTGCGAGGAAATGATCTCCGATTGGTCACTGTACCATTTTAGGCCCCCCAGGAACGTGTCTGCATCTAAGTCACTGACATCCAGCTCGGACAGGTCAAGTTCGGGGAGGTCAGGGCAGAGGGGCTGGTCTTCACCAACCAAGGCAGCACACTGGGAAGCACACACAAAATACACACGCTTGAGACTTCATCATCAAAATATTGGGTATCTCACACTGACACATAGCTTGGATGAAGAACACACTGTGCGTCCACTACAATTTTCCATTTCAGTGTCATGGTGAGAATCCTAAACACTACTGCCTGCTGACATCTTGCAATTCACCAGCTACTTTTCTGTTATCAAGGCAACGTGCGCCTGTATGAAGCAGCTGCTACTGTTTCCTCCCATACGCAACTCATCGGGTCTGCTCAGGCTGGAAATGAACAGCCATGGAGTCCTGGAGGCATAAAGGAATAACGTGGGAGGTGGCAACAAGTGCAGACAGCTTCAGGTGCAAATAATAGAACCTGTTATTTGGTAATAGTGGGTACCTGGGTGAAAAAATACACATCAATCACGCGTTTTGATTAAACTATTGACAGTTCTGGCTGCACTTCGGCAACTTTTTCAGTCATTTATAATCAGAATTCAACACCAGAGCTTAGGCTTTCACAGGCACATGTAGGACATAACGTTATGCATTACAAATACGTGATGCATTTCTAATAGGCTCCTCGCTATTTTTTATTAGTTTTAGTACAAGCTGCAATAGGGAGACAGATAGGGCTATACGACTGATCTCCCCTGGCAGTGTTGCGAGGTATTTGGCTCATAGCGCGTGCTGGGGATGAGAGATGCTGCCAAGTAGGCAAAACCGCTCAGACACCGGTGTCACACTTCATCTGTCCACGGAATGGCATAAGCACGCGAGGCTGTGAGGGCAGGCGAGTCCGCGTGAGTAGGCTGCGTCTTGATGCGTTAGTGTCCATTCCACGCAAGATATGCCAAAGCACTGGATCAACGCTAGTGCATTCAATGGTCGTATACCCAATTATGTTCCCGGAATGCTGGAACTAATGAAATAGCGCCGCCAGACAGACAGAGGAGCGAGGCGCGCACACAGCAGCAGCAGCAGCAGCGGCAGCAAAAGCGCATCAGTGATTTACGCACGCTTGGCACATACAAGCGCTGGCTCTGAGAGAACGTGAGAGCAGAGTGAACAGAAATCTATGACTGCTCTTTTCAACACAATGACAGAATTATGTGTGCAAAGTCAACCAGCTTCCTCTTCTTCCATAAAAAAAAAAAAAAAAACAGATTTAATTTTTAAATATTGAAATCACGTTGCGTTTTGGCATGATGTAGTTTGTAAAACATCACGAAAAACAAAGTGAGAAGACGAATAAGTATCCTTTTGATGTGCGCAGTGATGGGGAAAGCTTTTACGCGCAGGATACAGTGCAGGGAACGGGAATGGGATGGAGCCAGCTTTCTTACGCTCTACCGTCTGCCTGGGATGTTGAGCCTGCTCCTACACTGCTCCGTGCAAAGTGGACAGACGATGCTGCACATCAAAGGGATTGTTTTCATCGTCGTACAAGTGGCAAGCCAAATACCTGACTTTGAGACATTTCAGTCATTTTTGGCACCGGTGCGCGTGGAAAGCTCAGAAATCCACTGAAAACCGCAGAGAGATCATATAGGAGGAGATAGTCCCAGCTCGAGCATGAAATAGCATAACTACACGTGAAACTGCGAAGAAAAGACGTCCCCGCTGCTTGTCATATTCCCGTGTTGTGCGTATATCCCCGCATCCTCAACTCCTCAAATCCAGACGCGCACTAAGCAGCAGCAGCACAGTAGAGCGCAGATATAGCGGAGGGAGAGTCAGCGCAGTCCAAGGATCCAATAACCAAACAGTCCACACAGATACAGAGAAGTGGCTTTCTTTTTTTTCTTTTTTTATCTTACAACGATGCTCTCACCTCTAGTTCTCTCCACACCGAGTCCTGGTTACACCTGTCCCACGCCATCCAGACACTGAATGACGGTCCTTTGCAAAAGGGTTAAAAAAGAAGAAAAAAGAAAGAAAAGTAAAAAAGAAATCCACACACGCTTCCCACTCGCTCGCACACTGGCGACTGCTGCCCCTCGCCGAGAATGAACCGAGGGCACCTGTCTTACAACTGCTTTCCATCACATGACAAAGCTATTAAAAGTAGGCAGGGGAGTGACTTGTGCGTGCGTTACTCGCTGGTGACGCGCGGCCGGGGGGCGGGACTCGGTGGCACGCATAGTAAAGAGCTCACAGCGAGCAGGAGATCCAGTGGAGAGATTTAAAAGCAGCGTTTGCCTTTGATACCAGCCGCTCTAACCGTGCGTAAAGCCAAATGAAACGAGCTAAAGGCGTCGAAAGAAAAGAGTTCCCCGCATGCGTCTTGCACCAAGAAGAGACAGCGTCTTTCGGAGAGCGACATAAGTGCCCAAACGCGCGCCGTTAGTTGGTCAGCAGACTTTGCCTGATAATCGTTATGTTTTGGTACAGACAAATTGCTGTTTTCTCACTAAATCACACGATGGATGACATTTGTTCTGTTTTTTTGTTTTTGTTTGTTGAATAAGACGGCTACTTTACTGGCGTTTACCCATGATCTCTTTGCGTGCGTAAAAAAACGTACAGCTGATAGCCATACGCGTGCCATGCATATGAAATGAAATCTGGTTGATGCAGTTACAACCTATACACATGCAAAACAGGCCACCGCCCAGCTGTTTTGAGGGGATTACTTGAAATGTCCCTGGTGGAGTGGCTTAACTTTCTAACTCAAAATCCATATTGAATATCAAATGTGGAGAAAATGGGGTCTTTGTAAAAGTCGTTTCTTGGTTCATTCAGAGGCAATAAAATGGACAGGTGCAACAACGCTCGTGTATGCAGTGTCAACAAGACGTGTATAGGCAACATAAGCCACTAGAATCTAAACACGAGGTTTGTGGACATAATAAATAGAGACGTAGCCTCAATGGAATGGCTTGTTGGTGGAAGATTATGGGAGACTATGTTTTAAAGAAGAGCTATTTAAAGCAAAAGGACGGTACAGTGAATACACATTTAACAATGGTAAATCAGTTCCAAAACTTGTTTAACCCTTAAAATCCAACTCAATCTCCCAAAAAAGCAGAAGTAATGTACTTGTGAAATTAGTTGATATTTTGCAACGCTTACAGCAATTAAAGGAGACATATATCTGATTTTTTATTTTTTGAACAGCCACTTTTTTTTTTACTACATACACGGTGGTGATTAACTACTTCTGTAGCCACAGCTGACCTGGGGCACACTGACAGGAGTGGGCCAGTCACTTCACTTCTTAATACGTGTCATATGGTTCAGACAATAATCCTGTTTTAGACCAATACCACGGTTTAACAAGACACAGGCATTCAGGTTTTCTAATGTAAAGGTAAACTTGTAATCACTCTTGTAAGCCTATCAAATCCACATATAGGCAACCATGAAGCAATTGCACACATACATTTATGGACTCCAAAAAATGCCTCATTGAACGCAAAATCACCCAAAAACCTGAATTATCGGTGCCAAAATCCAGTCTAAAATGTCCAACCGTGTGCGGCCATGCTACTTTCTGCCTTTGGTGATAATGCAACGTTATGGACACGGGAAAGTAGCCATGCTTATAGGTATCTCTGGGCATTTGTTCTCCTAAAATTCATACATCTGTCATGTTTCCACACGGGCAGCCCAAACGGAGCAGGTGGTGTGTTCAGTGACCTCACACAGCCCAGATGGACCGTACGCACATGGCGGAGAAAAGGGGCGACAGGGGAGCGACATGGAGCTCAATGCTACCTGGCTACCACTGTAATACATATAAATAGAGTGTGTAGTAAAAATGCATATGTCAAAATGGGTCAGGAGAGGAGCTATCCCACAAACTATGCAGGACACTAGAGTTTAAAGGAAAAAAAAAAAGGCAAATATGTTTTTTGTAATGGAGCGGCAAAGATACCAACCATAAATTAATGATAAAAGTTTTGAAGCTTGCTCTGGGATATTGTGGGGAACAATGACAGCAAGACTTACATTTTATAAACAGCAAAGTTATTAACCTATTGTACCAAATGTTTTGTATTAAAGTGTTTGTGTAGCAAAGCATCATCTTTAAAGGGGTCAAATCTATTTATTTTTGTATCGCATAAAATCACAGCAGGATGTTACGGAAACGGTCATTTCGCCACAAACAACAGTTTAGAGAATCAAACAAGTAGAACACAAGAAAAGACAATAAAAAGGCACATGTGAGTCAGTGGTTCATAGTGGGTGAACAAATTATCATAAACTAAGATACATTTCCAGAGACGTACATATCCTGGATCATCAACTGACCTTAGACCCTCCTGCATTGACAAGGAAACCCAAATATAATGACACACAATACCATTTTATTCTACCTGCCTGATGACAATGGGTGCACTTTGGGTAATGTGGTATAGGACACATAACAACTGTCCTGGAACTACAGATGGAAAATAGCCCTTGGGCTAATTCTGGCATATTTACATGTATAATGTATATTAATATGCACTGTCGCTTTAATAAATCAATACATTAATAAACATGTGTTAATTCCAATATTTTGAAGCTGTTTGCTGACACACTGATTAATATAAATAAATACATAAAATTAAATGAAACAGGCATTTTTTTTAGAGAGAGAGAGAGAGAGACAGACAGACAGTCAGACAGATTTATAGAATATACTTGTATAATGATAGAGTATCTTTTAACTACCTATAGTTTTCCAGACCAACTCTAAACCAGATGTGGGGACCAGTGTAAATAATATATGTAACTTGGATTATTTTGATGGTTTTTTGACAAAATGTTGACGTTATTATAACATTCTATGGATTTGCACTTCTCTCCTCAACGATAAAAACATATTTCTGAATTCTTCCACAGAAGCATGCAAGTCACAGTCAAAAGCCTTATCAGATTGCACTGTTCATGCCAATTAAGACGACGCACAAGCTAAATATAGATATAATGTTATGATTCCCTTTGCTCAATGGCCTTTGATTCCCTTTTTCTGCAACACTAGCTAGAGGCTGGATATTTATGTATGCGCGGCTGGAGATTTGTAGATACAGGCATTATTTCAAAAAGTGGGTGCTCGGCAGCGCAGGTAATCTTTGAAATGCCAAAGCTTTTTTGTTTCACTTGCAGAAAGCTGATAATGGATGGCTGTAAGTGTGGGAAATTGTGAGACGCAGGCGTGAAATAATTGGGGATGGACTGATACCGTTACTGGAATCGACTTGGGACGTTTGCTGAAACTGGTATTGGTTCGGTCAATATCCTGATTGGATGTTGGAATAGATAAGATGATACCAGATATGCAAAGAGAATATCCCACAGTGGCTAAATGTCAGTGTTGCAGCACACATTACAGAAGAAAAATAACGGAACATTCAAAACAAGATAGTTTTAAGGACATTTGTGGACATTTGTCATCCGCATTATGGACCATTATGGCTTTGTGTTTTTTATTGCTACATTTAAAACTGTTTGAGTCTCTGATCTATGGTGGTGAATCAACAACTTTGTAAAGTCCTGGGTACCTACAGTTGTGATGTAGGGCTAAACAAGAATACATTGAATTGAATTGAATAGTTGTACATACGTAGGGGCCAACGGATGTATTGGTTTGTGGATTAAATCGTCCAATTTAGAAATGTTGTGAGACGTCGGTCACAGGCCGTTAGACTTTACCTAATATAGACATGTTGGATGTCATTAAAGCTCAGAGTGCATCATTCACCTGTTGTATCGCAATCCATGCACATTTATTTGATGATTATTGCCACTGAGATAATAACGTTTACAATGTCATAAATGTATTTACTGCGTGGAAAGTCATATATTCATAAAATGTATCGATAAATAATGTACTGCTGAAAGTTAGAAATGATTTACTTTCCATAGAAATGCATTGTCCTGGGTTTTGTGGCTGAATCATTGTATAATTTTAATGTGTGTGACATTCATCATTTATATTCAGCTAAGCAGACTCCCAAGAAATCTGAATCGGTATCAGCTCCTAATAAAAATAAAGTAGATCATTCTCTAGTTGTACACATTTTGAGAATATGCTCAATCTTAGAAAACAGCCTAAATGGCAGATACAGTGACTACAGTGACTACAGTGAGTACATTGTGAGTACATTGTGAGTGGACACATTGTGACATCCTATTGCACATTATTACATTCCCCAAAAATGATAATACCAAAAATAGATGTAACGTTGAGGGGGAGAAGCTCTGAGAGGCAAATCGCTTCATTCTGCTTCATGGAAGAGCCTGAGGTCCTGTCTTCACACTGTCCTTGCATTTAACCGCTCTTATATAGATTGTATGTCACATCTCGGGAGGTTTAAGCCATAGGACGAGTGTGAAAAGTTACTCGCACCTCTTTGATGGATAGCATGTTGACAAGTGACAACCACTTTACGGGCTTTGAGCCACAATGAAAAAAATATATAGTTATAGTTAATAAGAAATATTGGTTTGGTTTGCTATGGTTGATCGGTATACTGTATATATGTATAATATAGACATCTGTAAATACTCCGAATAGGCAGATGCGTTTTTTCACATTTTCCAGCCCCCGCGGCCATTTTGAAACTGCCCATAGCCCGTGGAAGTTGTGGCACAATAGTTAGAATGGCGGAAATAGCCGTGACTACGTCCGTTATTATTTACAGTCTATGGGTATAACAGACCTTACAATCAATGCTTGGAATTTAAGTGCAATATTTAGAATCACTTGGGGGCCAGAGGTGCTCACATTTTTACTATGATGGCCGAAAATAACTCAGTGGTCATGGGGAAAGCCTCTGCATGCTTTGTGTACAACGCCTGGTTGAATTTATATTTGTGCTTAAATCAGCTTGATGTATTGTGCTTTAGACTAATGCACAAATCCATATTCTCTTGAGTCTTTTAAATGGA